GATTAAAATAATCGGTAGATTCTTCAGAAATTTTTTCGGAGATTTTTTCAGTAGTTTTTTTCCGCTGTTTGGCTAGACGAATTCTTTTTTCTGCCACGATTAAAGGTTCATCGAATTCACGTGACCTAAAAGAAGGTTGCGCAAACCTAAAGACCAAAGGTTTAAATAAAAAACCAACTGTTCTCTTCCAGCCGATAAGACCCATCAGACCTATAGATGCCGCTATTGTAAATGCATAAAATGTGTAATTGTTGATTAACGTATCCCCTATTATTCCTCCGTGCCTATATCTTGCAGTTATGTTGAATGAGAATTTAGGCAACATCACACATACCCCTAAATTAATTGGGGTTAAATACAAAATTTTCAGCAACATTTTTGCTGGCCTGAAGATTAGTAAATAAACTATAGTGGTAGCTATGGTAACACTAGTTAACCCAAGAAATTGCACTAATATATCAGCTAAATATGCACCTACTATTCCTCCCAAATTTGTCACTTCCATATTTGTTGCGGTGTTTAAGGAAAGGTCTTTATAGTCGTAGCTAAGAATTAATATGTATATATATATTAAAAATAACAGATATACTAATGACTTAAAGTATTGCTTTAACATCTACCTAAAGTAGTAAATTATAGTGTATTTTACAAAATGTACCGCTATTAACAATATCATTACAGATAAATCTAACCCATTAAATGACGGTATATGCCTGCTGATAATCCTCAGAGGTGGATGAGTCAATTGATTTAAGGTACGTATTACACTACTAACAAATTCATTGTAGATATTCAACATATTGAATCTTATCATCCAATTGAGGATAATCCAGCATATTAAGACAAAGCTATAGAGATCAAGCATAGAGATGATCAAGTATATTATTGGATGCATAACTTAACTTTTTGTTATGTTTGTACTATATGAATGGTCACAAATCAAGTACTATGTATAGCATTTGTCAAAACTCTTTTAATATTTATACAGTTAAGGTTAGAAGAGCTTGCCTCTTGACCATTAGTTTGCTTCTGTAACTCATTAAGAACTGTACCATTCATTAACACATCTCTAACATGAGAATTTGCCACCTTTTCTCCATTTGTTTCCTTTGGTGCAATCATTACTGCATCTAACATGCTGTTAAGACATGACATAAAACGTGGAATAAGAAACTGTCTTGCAAGATAGCGTATACCAGGGATCGTGTTAAATATGTTTCGCAGAGTAGGCTTCTCATCTATCAAATCTTCAATAATATCTGGAATAGCGGCTTGTTTGAGTACAAAATTTAAAATTTGTTTTCCTTGTTCTTCTGATAATCCTATTTCGAAAGTAGGAAGCAGGGTTGGAGTTATTCTAGTTGACTTCTCTGCCTCACTTGCTTTTATTTTATCCCAAATCAAATTACCAAACTTACCTAAATTTGTTGGTTCCAGATTTATATTGTCTGATTGGTTTATAAGTATTACAACATCAGGCATACGTATTACACCATTTTTGTCTCTATATTGAAAAAGATCACGGGTTGACATTTGCGTTCTGTTTTTGAAAAAAAATGGCATAAATAGCCGTATGTTACTAGATTCAGCGCTAACTTGTCCAAAATTTACTACGCATTTGCCGTCTATGAATTGAAGATCTGTAAGTTTATTTAACATTCCACTGTTCAAAATAACACCTGATGCAGGTGTTATTTCAAGGCCATATAGAGCAACTGCAAAAGTCTTTTCATGGTCGGTGATTGTATCCACTTCTTGTAAGTCTTTATTAGCACTATAAAACTTATCACCTGCATATATTACCTGTGCATTCACATTTTCCTCTATATTTTCAACAGCATCATACCATACAATCTGTTCATCATCATCTTCATTTTGCTTTGGATCTTCTAAATTATCTGACAGAGTTTCAACAGCATCATAGAATACCTCTTCATCTAATTCTGATACAATATTATCCCTTTTATTTTCTAAATTAATTACCTGTGTTTCTTTTTCCTTGCTCTTTGTATGATCGTTAGCAGAGGTATCCGGCGGCACATTATTCTTGTTGCTGAGTGAAAATAAGCTTTTTACTTTTGCTATTAAGTCAGTCCATGCTAACCTAACTCTATTCAGTAAAATTTTTAAACCTCTTATTTTAATCATGTTCCTTACTATTAACCTCAATAACCTTCAATTTTATCACAATAAATTCAATATCTCAATACAATGTAT